ACATCGTGTTTATCCTTCTTGTAAAACTCAGTCTTACCTTTAAATACCATTGTTTCAGGTTAATGAAATCCGGTATTAACCCCTTTGACTCCCAAGAAGCAAAGCCTTACAAGAATGACCCTGAGATTTTAGCCATGACCAACTTGGTAGCAGCGTACCAAAATGACGATATCAACGAATTTGAGACAATCCTAAAGCAAAACCGAACCAATATCATGGATGACCCTTTTATTCGAGAACACATTGAAGGTAAGTTAGTGTCGATCAGTTCTTTTGAAAACTAGGACATTTGTGTAATTACACTTTTTAATACGTGTTATCGGTATTGTGAGTATTTTTGTCTTTTTGTGTATTTTTGGGTGAGGTTTAAATTTTTTTTTTTACACATTTTCCACTTTCAGATCTGTTGAGAAACATCCGAACTCAAGTGCTCATAAAACTTATTAAGCCATACACAAGAATTCATATACCTTTTATCTCCAATGAACTCAACATAGATGCAACAGATGTGGAAGCTCTCTTGGTGCAGTGTATATTGGACAAGTAAGTAAAACATTTTTAGAGTTCTTTGACTTCTTATGTAGATTTTTAAATAAAAAATCACTTAGTCATATTGCGATCATAGACACAGGCATGTGTATCATAGAGTTTTTTCTTTGTTATTATTGATGATGATAATAATATTAATATTATTATTATTATCATTATCATTGTTATTATTATTATTATTATTATTATTATTCATTATCTATGCTTTCTTATATCAGAAATTAATGATTGGGTTAATGGTTAATCATTTAACCCCTTGGTGCCGGGTGACGCCGATAGGCGTGTAAACAAACCGCTCAAAAGCTGGCTGCACGCCAGCTTTTGAGCGGTTTGTTTACACGCCTATCGGCCAAACGAGCCAGCGGCGCGCCAAAGTGCGGCGAGCCAGTGATTCGGGCTGATGTCCCGTACTCATGTGCTCAAAGTCGGTGCACCGCCTTTGTTTGCTTAAGCGTAGTTTTTTTTTTTTTTTTTTTTGTACACCCGGCGCCATTGGGTTAAGCAAATAAATGCACTAGACATTAAAAGTCAGACAGCAGTAAGTAGAGTCTTCTGGCAAAAGGGTTAAAAATAAGTTCATGATTAGGACAGAAGAAGGGGATGAAAGAAAAGAAGGGAAAGGAAAAGGGGAGAAGAAAAGACCCTGCAAAATTAGTTGAGGCGAGGGCTGAGGTCCAAGTCAGGGCTGATCCCTGACACTGGGCCTCAGTCTCCAGCTCCTAAGCCCCCTCCCCCTCCCCCATGGCAACAAGGAGGAAAGGCTTGGGGGGGGGGGGTATGAGCGAGGGTGTGGGTGAGATACCTCAATGCTCCTCTTTTCCAATTAGCAAAACATTTTCTTCTATTAACATAAAAAAGGCCTTCTTCAACATGGATATTTATTTATTACAATTATGGTATTTTTTTTATGATTCTATTAACTTGTATATTCTTTTTTTCACAGCACCATTGATGGACGTATAGATCAGGTGAACCAGGTGTTGGAACTGACTCGGGGCGCAGAGGGTGCCGCTCGCTACACAGCCCTCGACCGGTGGACAAACCAACTCCAGTATCTGCAGTTTGTTATTGTAACCAAGATGAATTAAGTAAAATAAAACAGCCACTGTGGAAAACAGGGGTTGCAAAAAATCTATTTTACTCTTTGAGGGGGATTGTGGAAGAGATTCAGTTCTCAGGCTAGAAAGTATGTACAAATGTATGAAATTTGTTCAGATATGAACTTATCAAAGAAATGGTAAAAAGAAAATGAACCAGAACTTGTACATCAAAGACACATGATATTTGGAACTGGAAGGCTCATTAATGATTGCCAGAAAATGTTTGTCCAACCACAGACTTTGGATCATGGGGTTTCCTTCTTTTTTTTTTTTTCAAATTGTTCATATAACAGTTTTGAGTTTAAACTTTGCATACACTTTGCTGATTTTATCCTTGCCAGGCAAATGGAGATACACAGTTCCTCTATTTACATTAAAGAAAGAACAGAAACATGTTATGTACCAAATGCCATTTTCTATTTAAAAAAAAGAAAAAAAAAATTGAAAGGAAAGGTACTGTAAAAATTCATGTTCATCTTTTATTGTTGCCTCTTGTGTAAATAGATTTAATAATTCAGGATTCTTTGAGTTTCATTATTTATTAGGCTATTTCTGATATTTTGTACATAATTTTTTTTATGATATATGAAAACCAAATTTCCTCAAAAATTGCAAAACGTTTGAAAAGCTATACTCACAGAGAGCAATATATACCTTTTTACCTGTATTTTCTTTGAGTTTTGAATTACACTAAAAATGTTAACTATCTGTTTTTATCCTTTTGTCCAAGAGTGAAGCTTACTTGGAATAAACACTGGAAAGGCAGCAGCAAACTTTTTCAAAGTAATTTTTGATTTCTTCATTGTCATGTCATTATCACTGTCATGTCTACACCTTCCAAGGTTGGATGAAATTCCCTGCTGTAACATGAATAAAATGATAAAGAAATTATGTAATTCAGTAAAGTACTGATAGAAATGTTGCATAGAACGGAGGTTGTAAGTAGAAAATGTATCATATGTATACTTGCAGAAAAGTACTTTCAGTTCTAGCCAGAAATTGGTGTAAACACAAACAAAAACATGGCACAGAACATTACTAAAAAAAAAATTTGTGTTCTATATGTAAGTAGCAAGAGCACATTTAATAATTTTTTTGCACATGGTTGTGTACATGTGATAAACATAATATAAGTGAATAAAGTGAGAAAGTAATGGACTATTTTCCATTTTTCTGAATATTGGTGTCTCTTTTCCAAGAAAACTTGTCGAACTGATGAAATGAAAGCACCCTTCATTTGTCTTACTAGGAAGCATATGTTATGATGAAAGTAGTATATCAGAGTTCAAAATTTTTGAAATTCTTTCACTCCCTACCTGAATAAGTAATCTAAAAAAAAAACAAAAAAACTTTATTATGCACTAAAACCATGATGATGACAGGATGCAAAAAAGAAGAAAAAGTATGAATAAGAGAAAATGGAGACGGAGAAGGTATAATCTGAGTTTTAATCATAATTTTCATCTGAATTAATTACCAAGACTAGAGAAAAAATGTGTTTGTAATTTTCTGCTAGGAATTATAATGATTAACAATAATAACAATGATAATAATAATAGAAAAAGTATCTATTTAGACCTTTGTTTCTTTTAATTTTTGAAGATTTTGACACTTGTCAAAACTGATCTTTTTCTTTTGTTATACAGTCACTGGAGAAGAGTTTTGCCTGGGGGGGGGGGGGGGGGATAAAAAATAAATAAAAATCAATAAATAAAATAAAATAAAATTATTTAAAAATGGTCTTACTACATTTTCATAATACATTTACCTTTGTAATAAAAAAATACTATGGATAGGCATACATTCTTACCTTATCTTATCAGAATAATAAGATTTTCCAATACAGGCTAAATCTAAAAGTAGCTTCAGCTCAGTTTTAACAAAATGTATTTCACTCAGGTTGTAAACGAAAAAGAGAGAGGGGGGGGGAAGGGAATTCCTTCTAAAGCATCTCGGTCCAGGGGCCTTCGACTGGCGAATAATACAAAATATTAAAAATCGATCCTAATACAATATTTATTTATAAAATATACAAAAAATGTCTTATTTTGCCATAAGTTCTTTCGCTTTTTCTATTGGCTTTATCTGAGGGCCTAATCTCGACCAGATAAAGCACGACTGGGGTTGGTAAGTCATGGTGGAATAAGGAGAGGTTCGGTCCTTGAAGTAGTCCGATGGTGCATGGCATTCGAATTCCATATATTCTAGTTTTCGAGGTATGTCTTCTTCCGGGCCTGTCGGCGGGTGGAATAATTAGACAGTGCTTGATGCAAGGTAATTAGAAAATAAACAGTGAAAGAAATGTGAAAAAGTAAAAGTAAAACTAATAAAAAAATATATACACACACATACACACTACCATATTTCAAAATAAAGATCGGGAAACAACTCCTACAGTTCCTACATATATGCAGGAATCGGCAAGACATACCTATTATATAAGTCGAAGGGTCAAAACTTTCTTCGGGGGGTGGAGAATTTTTTGTTGGTATTAGCCACGTTAACACGGCACTCTTCTCGCAATACTGGTCTTGTAACAAGCCACGGATCTGAGCGTAGTATGTACCTCCATCAACATCAATGACAGATACTATGTCCCCTACTTGATAGTATAAACCCTGCAAGGAAAAGTGAGTGTAATTAAAATATATATATATATATATATAATATATATATATATATATATATATATATATATAGAGAGAGAGAGAGAGAGAGAGAGAGAGAGAGAGAGAGAGTGAGTGAGTGAGTGAGTGAGTGAGTGAGTGAGTGAGTGAATGTGAGTGTGAGTGTGTGTGTGTATAAAAGTAAAAAGACATATTTCTAAAGATATCTAATTAGTATCTACTGAAGTATTACATATTAATGCCATATCAAAATGTATAATTCTCAATGAAAATTACTATTCTTTGGAAGATCTACATTTGAAACTACAGTTTAGAAAAAAATACATACATATACTCAAATCTATGGAAAAGGGTCTTGCCATTCATTCAATACTTAACAAAAAACCTTACCTTATAGAAAAGATATTCTGATGTGACCGGAGTAGCAACCGCCACAGGTGCTTTAGTAGCCTGGAACAAGAAAAAATCAAATTAAAAAGTGAAAATCATTTATGAATTACATAATCCATCCTTTTAATAATAACTTACTGTAACTGTTACCATTCCTTTGCGAGTTAATACAACAATACAGTTTCCTTCTATCTTTAAACTTAAAGATCTATTAATATAGTGAGCAAAATGTATCAAATGTGTATTTGATACTAAGAATAAGGAATATGAAATATCTGCTGAGGACGGTATAATACTGAATACATCTACAGTTGGCTAGAAGCTATATAATATG